AATCAGTCAGGGCTCGAACACAAAGACTCACTCGCACTTCTTCACTAAAGGATTGTGTCCGGCGGGTGTTGCTGGCTGCTCTGGATCCTGGTTGACAAGGCAGGTCGGGAAGGAGCAACCATCACCCAGGCTGTGTGCGAATTTACAAAGAGGAAAACTAGAGTCATTCATTCATCCCTCCACTGACGGCGGCTTTGAGGAAAATCCAATTTACTCAACGCTGACGTCAGAGAAGTGACAGTGCTCTCTGACTGACCTGCAATTCTGCCCTAATGCAGATACAATCTGAATACATAATAGGTAAATATACATTGTATATTCATGTATACATGTATGTACATACAGTATCAAAGATCATTTATGAGATCTTTTAATTATTAACAACTTTTAATGTTACATTTTGAATCTAATAGCATAGTTGATAATACTAGTATCATTAGGAATTAATATCACGTGCCTGAGTGTTGCAACAGCCTTATAGATGACATCTGAAATATATTAACATTTTATAGTATCATACTTGTTAACAAAGAGGTAGTGTAACCATGGTGATTTTTTGGTTATCGGTTATTTAATCATTTAACGCATTTCTTAATAGCATATTATTACTTCACTTTTAAGTACAAAGTACACTGAACTTTTAAATCAGTGTTTCCACATCTGAATAGGGAAAACTACCTCCATTATACTTTAGCAAGTGGACCTAATTCTTAATTCATTACATTCACAGCGGCGACCACAATAACCGTGTTACATCAATGCCCTTCTGCTACTGCCCTCCTCCCCTAAATAATGTGAGGTTGACTTTACGAGCTGTTTGGACTGAAGGCTTTAAAACGAATGCATAAGGAATAACAATACCCAATAAGAAAATGTGCCAAAGAGAAGTTCTGGCTTAACCCTCTTGGCGCTCGGCCAGCCCCCCGGCTGGGACCTCGTGCAGAGGGAGGAGTGAGCCAAGAGTCGGCTGCACAGGGGGAGGGGGGCAGGGGGGAGGAGAGGCGCACTACGGTACTCGCAGGTTCTCCGGAAGTGACACGGAAAATTAAGAGACAGAGGAGAAGAAGGTGATGAAGACCTTGGTTGCCTTCATCCCTCCCAAAATTGTATTAAAAAGTCCATTAATGGTCTGGGTCAATCTGAGCATCACCTCTGTGGTGCAGACCTTCAATTAAGCACAGTTTTCATATTAATTAATCAGGTAATGCCAGAAGCATCTGACGTGCTCAGTAGGAGGAGGTCAATGTGATTGCACAGCAAGATCACAGTGTCCAGACTTAACTTTAAAAAGCCCTCCTTCATGTTCATCATATTCAGCTGTTTCCCAGATCGAGGGGGTCTTTATTATCTACTCTGGCTTGACACGATCCGTGCTGCTTGTAGGAAGCTAGACACAGCCTTCAGTGCTTCCTGAATTGCATGAACTGGAACGTGTTACGTCCTCCACCTTCACCTTTGAGTTTTGTTTGTGAAAACCGAGACACGTGAATTGCAAACCTCGAAAAGACGGGCAGGAACCAGTATTGCTTTTCATCCCCAAACACCTGGCGAAAGTTCTTGCTGAGCCCCAGGCTGAATCCATTCTTGTCAGCCCCATGGCGGAAGGCCGGCGCTCTGAACGCTTCTTCACGTCCCAAAAAACACAGAAAGGAAATGGGTCACAAACATCACAACACGAGGAAAACAAAGCTGATGTCATAGACAGCAGCGCTAAGAAAAAGTGAAAAAACCGAAGGGCCTCCTGACATCTAGTTAAATGCCCATCAACACTGTGACGAGCTTGTGAAACAACATCTCTAAAACGGTTGGTATGTTTTCATTTTCACGGACAACTGAAAAAAATGTAATTGTAAATCACAGTTAATGAGAAACAACAAAAATGAGTGGATTGCTGTTTTTATAACATTATTGGCAACGTTAGAGGACAAAGAAATGCAGTAACATGGCACCATACTGTATATGCAAATGAACAACAGGACAGATGATACTTTGAGAAAACCAACTGATGCCCACTGTTAATGCTGTGTAATAAAGTTTCCCACATGAGTGAATTAGGAGCTAATATTTTTGTAGACCTTTGCGTCTATTTTACAAATGCACACCAGCTGTCTTGTTTCTGTCACACAGAGAACAGACAGGTTTCACAATTATCATTTTGAAAAACCATCTGGTGCAAACAGGCGCCAGGCGAATAACAAGCCTGAATGAATGCAGGCACACTCTGACAGCTTCATTGACAAGTCATTCTGAATAAGTAACCCAAGGATTTAAAAAAACTAGGAGAATATATTTATGTCTATATGAGAATACGCTTATTACATTTCACGAAGAGCTTGTTAATAAAAGTTAAAAAGCAGTACATGTCGTAAGGGTTCGATTGTTTTTTATTTTTTCTACAGATTGTGGGAGCGCTAGAAGAAAGCACTCTAATTCTTAATTCTTAATTCGTAAAACCGTTTCTCCCAGCTACAGGTGAAGCGCTCCAGACAGATCGCTCCCCAGGGCGACTGAGTTAAGTGGACCCCCCTGGTGGTGACCCACGTGTGCCTGAAAAGGGGGAGGAGCAGCCGTGAAAATGGAGATGACATCCCTCCCCAGGTCCAGGTGACCCTGTGGATCGTGTGGCAGCACAGCCTGAATGTACCGGTCCACAGCCTGTGGTGAGTGCAAGTCCGGGTCAACGGTGAAAGATATCTGCTTCTGCACTTTCTCTTCACTGGGGTTCCCCATGGCTCTCTCCTGGGTCCCTGCACTGTTCTCTCTCTTCACCTTACTCCCTGGGTCCTCTCTTCTCTTCCCGAAGCTTGTTTAAGCCTTGGCGCTGATGCTGCCCGAATCTTCCTCTCCAAACCCCCTCTTTGATGCCCGTATCCCCTGTCTCTACCAGCAACCTCTGGGTGCACTTTCATCATCGCAAACCCGGCCTCTTGAGCTCTGACCTCCTTAGTTTCGCCACCCTGAAGAAGATTGGTAATACGGTAATGGATGATGGTAAGATTTTACCATCTTTCGGTGAGATCCACACCACTCTTCAAAAGTTCTTATCTCAAAGCACTTTGCAATATATGAAAATCACATCAAAGTCCCTACCATCTTTGATGTAAAGTATGTAAAAACTAAACATTTTCCAATGTGAATATGTTTTGATATTTTAGATTGTTGGCAATCCCACACAGAACAGTGGCTATGAAAAATACCCAGACCTAAAACATGATTTTTCTAGCTTGTTGGACAGATGTGATATAACTGAAAAAGTGTTTTAAAGATTGTTGTGGTTTTGTATCCGTGGCCTGTTTACAGAATGAAACAGAGTACACAAAAACAAAAATTTAAACCACATCATTTCCGCAGCAGGGTACAAATATGTTATTTGTTGCTGTTTAAAACAACTAGGAGAATATATTTATGTCTATATGAGAATATGCTTATTACATTTCACGAAGAGCAGGGTACAAATATGTTATTTGTTGCTGTTTAAATTTGCCCTTGTAATGCTTTTCTTGTGAATTTTTAAAAAATCATTGAAATGGAAAAGTCAAAGGACCACTGTGTTCAGCTAATCAGATCTCTCAGTATAATGGGGCTTACAGTTTTACCAACAACATTCTTAACCCCAAATAACTTACAGCAGAACTGAAGAAGTGACATTTCTGATATGTGTTCTCAGCAACTAGTGTTTCTTTAACTCAAGAGCTGCTTTTTCTCCTGCCTCACACTGTGCAGCTAGGAACCTTTTCATTTTTAAAATTAATTTGTGCCTCTCTTCTTTATTTTTAGATCAAGATAAATCTTTATATTCTTTTGAAGTTCTCTTGAAAATGTTGTAAGGATAGACAGTCTGGGACATCAAAAATCTGTATAAAAAAACATTCCTTCAATTCTTCACTTTAAATATCCCAAAGTCTCTGGCTTGTATTTCTTTACTGGTTCTGAAGAAGTCCACTGGGCTGGTCTTGTTAAGCCTTTGAGAATATAAAACAACTGAATCTGGTTGGCTCATAATCTTGTCTGTTCAAGGAAACATGCTGTCACATTGAACAGTATTTGACTCACTCACATCAAGCATGTGAGAGCAAAGTTACCCTCATTAAGTAAATCTGATTAATCTTTAGTAAACTTTAGACCAGGATGTAAATAATATGAAAGAAAAAATTGAGAGAATACAGAAGTCTGCTCAGTTTTAGGATTATTGTGAATTGCAGGCTTAAACTAATTTCTTCTAAAATCAAGATTCTAAAATCTTGAGAGCACGCAGGATTGAGAAAGACAGGGGAAGAAGATACATAAACAACTAGATACACTTTTCTAAAATGTTCTCGGATTTAATCTTCTTTGCTGTTTCCCCATCTGATATGTTGGGTGGCAGGCAGCATTAGGAGAACAATGTGAACTGCTTAGCTACTAAATCCCTTCAAGTGTGAATGCTCTGAATTCAGTGAAATTGATGCTCACGTCTGTGAAGAAAGGTGTGTAATCTTTGTGAAAAGCTTGCACTTGTCTGCAATGCTGTCTTTAACTGTGGCCCCTGCAGGATTCAAAGCTGTACTTAGCATCCATTGTGCCAAATTCTAACAGAAAAAAATATCAATTGCATGAATATTTTTGAACCGTGGCGAGAGCTTGTTATTTGAGTGTAAAATCCAGCTAATTAAAATATGATTGTACACGCAGACAATCCAAGGAGCTGATAATGGCATTTGTTTAATACATACTGTAGTAAACAGGCCGGAAAGATCACTAGCCCATGTGGAGATTATACTGTACATCCTCTGCTGATGTACGGGGCAATGAACGCCTCTCTTCTAAGCTGCAGCATTCAAATACTCATTAACAAGCCATTTTTAAGCCTGTTTATACCGCTGTGCCCCTTGCTTGACATTCTAACACCCCACCTAGATAATCCGCTCCCTGGAAAACAAGCTAAAGCAAAGCCTGCGTCCTGACGAGTAAGCATGCCCCGATCGAGGGTGCACAGCTGCACACAAGGCAGCGTGCTCCCAGCAACGTGTATGGATAACGGCTACTTCCTGTTCCACACACTCCACCCCCCACACAGGCTGTGCTTTCCAGGCCTGTGCTTTATGTGCAGAGACACAACCATGGTTGCTGTGAAGCCGACACACCCAGTTCTGGGAATCAGAGAGTAAAACTTACGTAAATTAAATACGCAATTTTTTAAATGTCACTTTCACTTACTAGCAGAAAAATAAATCCTGCACATGTTATCTTCAGCAGCTCTTATTGGATAAATATGAATATATACAGTATATATATAAAAAATGGTTGTGATAAATTATGAGATTATGACTATTAAATAGCCCTTTTTGTTTCACAATGCTAGAAATCAGATACCATCTATAATTCTAATTTTGTTTCATGCATCTTGAGAAACTTCAGAGTCAAGCAGAGATCAACAGACAACACGGTACTGAAAATGCCTAATATGACAAAGAAGGATTTGGAGAACAGGAAACCTGAAAGGATAATCATTACTCTCTGGTGAAGTGACATTAATGTTATGGTTCCTGACACTAATGAAATAGGTCAGGACAGCAACAGAGACCCTTTCAGCATTTGTCTTTTCTTTTACAGCAATTAAACCAAGTAAAGACCTTTATTTAAAGGCCAAAGGAAAAGTAATAAATGCTTTTTTAATATTCTGAATATGCAACACCGTGCATCTTCTTGAGTACTGAGGAGGAAACAGCGATTTCCACCTGGTTTGGATTGCACAAAGCCGATGTGATAATGGGTCTATAAAAAGAAATCTGAAGAAACCTCAAGTGATAATTAATAAACGTGATTCACCCAAGGTAACTAAATTTCATAGGAGCAATTTAGAAGATTTCACAATGAAGTACATTTTGATCAATTATTATCATCTCAATGTTCTAAGTAATCACAGAGTCAAAATGAACAGGAGGGTCACCAGATGGGAGCCATTGCTTGCCCCTACCTGGGATTGAACCCAGGACCTTCTGTCAGGAGCCAGACGCCCTTGTCGTCTGAGCTACACGGCTCCATGTTTATTATGAGCATTAGAAAGCCTCCACCATTGTTTTCTGCAATTATTATTATTGTGATTAATAATATCACAGATCAGTTTGAGTGAGAAGCCAGGATTGCCATTCAGAAAACTTAACACACTGATCTGAATTTTCAAAACCCTGATGATAACAACTCAGGATAAATGACACATATACATGATAAAATATATATGACTCAAGAAAAACTGAATATGAGCAGCCAGTATGAATTGCTGTGGCAGCTAATCCACCACATTGACTCATCAAATCTAATGACATTTTGTCAGGTGCTCCTTGTCACTAACATTGTAGCCTTCTGTACGAATTCATGAAGCTGATAGGCTACTTTTTGTACATCAAAAAAACAGATCTCCAGCTTTAATGTGGATAAAACTTATGAAGATCACCTTTTACCCGTTTCCTCTAGAAGAAATAAAAACAGAGAGTAAAAAAAGTAAAACATAATATGAGAACATAACAGCAGTGCTTATATGTAAGTGTGTAACACGATCATGCTTTAATTTAATTGTGATTAATGCACGGCCTGATCCCCACACTCATGCCTAAGACTGAGTTGTTTGGGAGCTCATGGATATGGATATATACGTGTGAACTGTGTTTACTCCCCTTTCAGAATTACTAGGACAGTAGAACCCTACCCCTCACCCTTCCAAATCTGCAATTTCAAAACCTCGTACCTTAACCTCTCAATGTTGTATTAATACATATTAATAAAGATACTCCAACCTAAAAGGACAATGCAGGATGACATGTTACTGCAGAAAACGCCTTACCTAGAGTCGATCTGTTCTTACTGACCAGCCAGCAGTGGTACCCGAACAGCGAGGAGAGGCTTACAGAGAACATGGTAGCAGCGAAGAACAGAAACATGATGTGGAATTTGGCCTGGGTGTCAGGAAGACCATTCTGGGAAGACACATGCAAACAACACGCAGATCAGGAACAGACAGAGATTGCAAGAGTCAAGACAGAGGGGTTATTCATTCTGGCATGATCAATGATCGGCAATGATCAGAAGAATGAGGTAAGAACTAATATTGGATCGTTTTTCTGGATGCTTCATGCATGTGCATGGTATGAATGACCAGTACTTTTAAAAACCATGCTGTATTCTAAGACTACTGTGAATAATCACAGTTTGATTATCTGGAATGTAAACACCAATACAAAGCGATTATAGAGCAGTGAAATATTTGTGTCTATGTTCTAGTTTATCTAAATCTATTTTCTACAGACAGATGCCAGGATATTTAGCAAGCCTAGAAAAGGCAGTGCCAATCAGTGTTCATCAAAAACAATGCCACTGATCTGCTAGGATTCCTACCACATATTGAATAAGATGTTTATGTATGTTACCACCAGCCTTCGCATGTTGAAAAATAAGAGATAAAAAATCATGTTTATAAGATCAGAATTTAAAAAGCCATTCATTTCACAACATTTCATGAAATTAACCATTTCTATACTAGAAAGCACTTTTTCTTTTTAATGTACAGACAAATCTCTTTGTAATGAATCCATGCTGCATACTGTATAAGCTTCCAACCCATTTTAAATTAACTGTCTTAATCAGTATTAACAGACATTAAGCTGTTCACATAACTTGAAATGACAAGAAGACTAAGGCAAACTTACAGTCCAGAATTTGATGAAGTACTGCAAGTCTGTAGCAGCAATGAACACGCAGTACAGAAGAGAGTACGCTAAAAAAAGCATGAAAAACTTGTAGTTGGAGAATCCCACACAATTGTTCACCCTGACAAAACACAGAACGGGATTAGACAAAATGCACTGTGCGGTACGTCTCATGTTTGACAAAGACACAATGACATCGAACTCTGTCCCACAACAGAACACACAATCCCTGCAACTGCGGGTGAAGCACACACACTTGTTTCTAATAACACAGGCTCACGGGAAACACTGACGCACAAGAACATGAAGTGTTTCAGGACATTTATTGAGCATGTGGCTAAACTCCCCCTGGCCAGAGGATGAGGGGCCGGGACCCCCTGCAGAGTGAGGAGTGACCAAGATTGACAGATACTTTATTGATCCCATGAGGGAAATTGCCAAGGAGCCGCTGCAGAAGGGGAAGTGTGTGTCCAGTAAGGAAAAACACATTTTCTTATGCTATACAGTATATAGCTTTCGGGAAATGATGAAAAAGACATATTTTAACACAGCTGGGATGAAAGTGACTTGGTTGTCAAACTTGAGTTAAGTTTTCCTTTAAATGGCTGTTGCTAAGTACAATGCATTACAATGCAGTCCAGTTGATGTCTGCTGAATTCACCTTGTTCTTTTGCCTTATCGGTAACAATTCACTTTAAAATAGATATCTGTACAAATTCCCTCCCTCCTTCTCTTCTACTGAGCCTGGCTGTGCTAGATGAATTGTGAGATAATACACCATGAGCATGGGGAGTTGCCTTTTGCTTTGTCTCAACACTCTCGAGAATATTCAATAAATTGCCCCAGAGGATGAGAAAAACATCTATCTGAAAGACAATCTATAAAGCATTTATACTCAAAGTCATCAGACGACGGTTTTCTTTAAAAAAAAAACAATATTTACTGCAACAGAAACACCAGTGTGCCAATCTTTCTTTCAGCCCTGCTGCCATAAAGAAAAAAAAACTTATTAAGCTGTACCATAAAGAAAAAAACTTATTGAACGTATTGAAAAAAACTGTATTGAGCATCCCTGGTTGTGTATCCAGGGAGAAAGATACACTGAATTTACTTTTAGCAGACAGTCCCTACGGAGGCAATGGACCTCTGTAGCCAGGGTACTACAGGGGTAGAGTATCTCCAGATTCAGCTCCTTGCAGATGTGTGTATTGACAATGGAGGGGGCACAGCAGTCGAATTAAGACATTGAATGATGCTTTTTATAGCAACAGTGACATGAGTCAGGAGATGAGCTGTGTGAATAAATCAGGTGTGACATATTTCTCTAGGCCAAGAACTTTCTCACACACTTGTTTCTGGTTCCAGATCATGACTGTCTTGTAATTTCACATCATTTTACTACATTATTTTACTGTTTCAGTTACCAGTTCATCAATTCATCAGTTGTCATTACCATAAACCACCACTGATTTTAAACAGACATTAAGAAACTAGACAATTACCGGACATAAGCTTTGATATTGTCAGAAAACTGCACCTGTCGAAGGTAGACAAGGCTTTTAAACTACAGTAATCCCTTGTTACATGAGCTTAATTCTCTCCTTGAAAACTGCTCATAAGGTGAAAACTCATGTAACAGAAACTAAATTCCTATTACTTCCAGAGTTTTAATCTCCAGTTGGTTCCACAACTCAAAAGTTCTCACTCAAACACTTAAACTTTACCTTAATACAGCACAGAACAGTAACTAATATTTCTGTTTAATTATTTGAGTGACATTCTTAAAGTCATTAGCTGATGCATAAATAACAGGTAGGAATACATTCACACTCCTGCTCATTTATAGCACAGTACAGTAGTAACATCACTACAGTCATTAGTAAATGCTTAACCGTTAGGTACTATCCTGAACTATTTGGATTCAAGCATTGACCAGGTCTATTCTCCCAGAAACAAAATATAACGGAAGACTTAATTTCTTTGTAGCATTTACTGTACATGGAGATCAAAATGATAACATAGAACATACCAGGGGCAATGGTGGTCCATTTTGAGTATACATCTGTAAATGCAAAAGAACAAGTCATTGCTGATGTTATGGTAAAAGTGATGAATCACAGACCAATAATTCCACATTAATTAGGTACTAATGTCAGGAAGTCAAATATCAATCATACTTATCACAGACAGAGCAGTGGTGACATCGATCCGGCTTCACCAGCTGACAACGGTCACAGTATCTGATTGCTGAGGAGAGAGCAGCGAGTTAGAGCTCTTCAGAAACTAGATCACCAATAAGTCATGTGTACTTTTATTTATAAGAGGGAAATACCATATTGATCCAAAGCCTTTCCCTGTTGTAAAACGTCCCTTAAATTATTTTCTCTTAAGATTGTGAAATGGGCAGATCTTCTATGCAGCGTTGTAGATTTCTACAGAAGTGTGCCATGTGGTGTCCGACCACCATGAGCGCTCTCCCCTGTGGACCAGGATAAGCTAGGAGACAACCTAGTGGAAGAGTCACCTAACTGTATAGCATGTGAGCACATACTCCTGAAACATAAACTTTTAGTGGAGCGGTTACTGAGAGCACCCATCATCGTGCATCCTGATCCACAATAATCGGTGAATTACCTTATCACCAGACACTTGTAGCAGACAAAATCTCCAGTTGCAGGTACTGTACCTCCAGACATGGTCCTGGTGTAGATGGGTAAATCCTTTGCTATTCTTCTCAGGATCTCCTGTTGTGCTTCTCCTCGATCTTCTCTCTCCAAGAGCTCTCTGTCAGCGTACGACAGATGAAACTGCAAACGATGAAGAAATTAAGCAATAAAGAGCAATATCCTCTTGCCTCTACATGCAGAGACCCCTGGTGCCTTTTGCTGGGATTTCTAAAAAGAATCACTGGGCTCTTTCAATGTTTGGACGTTCTAAGTGGGGAAATCAGATATTTTGATGATGCAAGTATATTGCAGTAGTCTGTCAGTACCTAAAATATTTTCTAAAATTGTTTTTGCTTGGATTGGGTTCTTAGGATCAGGCCGGCATTTAAACAGAATAACTACAACATATTTTCCCTCAAAACAGCAACCCAATACCTTTATCACACGCACCAGATAACGAGCAGCAAGATGTAGGTCTCACATGCTCTTTAATTTTGTGACAGTCAGTTGTTGTACTGGTATGTCACGTACTGTATAGCTGTTCAGTGAAAAACAGCATGTATCATCTGTGGGATGTAATGTAACAGAATGTGCTTTCCCTTCCACTCAGCTTTCCACTGAAAATCCCATTCAAATTGCAGCATGTTTCAGCAGCATTTTAAAATGATATTCCTGCTTTCATGTTTACGATCATAACTGCTGCACACGCCTGAGCAGAACACACAGGTCAACTAAAACAGTGTCTGTTATATCATAGGCAAAGTGTTCCCATCATGCTCACTGGGAAGAAAACATGTGAATATACAAAATGTCAGTCCTGTCCTCAGCTACTATTAGAATACACTACTGTTTGTGGTCTTACTGGATTGGAATAGTAGCAAGAAAAAAATGCCACATCTGATGCCATACAATGCAGTACAGCTCTTCAGTTTCAGGAGTGTCAGTGTCTGCTGTTTTCCATGCTGGCTATTAATAACACAAAGCAAGACCAGCACTCACCTCCTTGAGGGGATTCAGAGGCTTTGTGAAGATGGTTTTCCAGTAGGCCCAGGAAAACATGAGGAAGAAGAGGTGGTACGCTACGAGGCAGACAACTGTAAAACAAGACAAAGACGGATGTTACTGTAGAGAATTGTTACTGGAGTTCATTCTAATCAGAGCTCTTGAGGGGAGGTAATAGTAATTGCTATATATATGACAAATAATTTTATGGAGTTTACAAAATCATGAAAGCCTCTCAAGCACCAAACTGCTTTCATTTGAGTACAAAAAATATGATATAAAAATATTTTGAATAGAAACATTATATACAGTATATCACCTTTGCGATGGTCAGACTCAGTGTAAAAATGTAATAAGGCCATAGAAAAGTCTAACTGTCAATTCAATCGTAGTGTTCAGATTTAATGTAGTTAAAAGTATTTTTGAATTAAAAATAATCTACCCATTTTCTATCCAGGGTGCAGTGTTAGAGCACAGTGCTTCAGCTCAACAGAATTTAGCAATGCATTTACTTAATTAATTAATACATCCATCAATTTTCTAATGTTATTTCCAGTACGGGGTCATAGGGGGAGCTGGAGTCTAACTCAGCAAGCAAAGGGTTCGAGTCGGGGTACACACAATTACTTACTCTTTTCTCCAGTATTTTCCATGGACTCTGAAAGAAACGAGAGAAATGCAATTACATTTTCTGTTCTCTTTAACGTGCAAACAGAAGAACAATTCTGATTTCAAGATCAAATAAAAAGACTGATTAATGAAATAAATTGGATGATATGCCTTTTGTTGATACTATTAATATTTTATAATTTCCATATCAATAATTATATGCATATAAATAATTTGCTTTCCAAATTGGCACAAGCAGCAACCCTCTAACTTCTGCTCACCTTGTCTCTTTAGTACTTCCACAGTAAAAACACTAAAAATGCCAACTCACAGCCAATCTACCGTCCCTGAATTTCACAGCGCAAGACAGGTGACATGCAGTCTCACAATGAGCCCATTAATTATCCAAGAGGAGATCGTGTGTCTCAGCCTTTGACTTGATCTCCAGGGGAACAGATGTAAAAGCTGAAGGACATAGGCCAAGATTTCCCTTTGGATCCAAGAACTAATGCTGAGTTCTCATACAATCATGATGCTAAAAAATTAAAAGCACCTTCTTGTAGAGTACACTTCCTGCTTTCATCGCGATCACTAAATAAAAGCGATTGTACAGACCAGCAAGTGAATGACAGATGTTTTATTTAGCGAGTTGGACTTGACACCCAATGCTCATTCACTGCATCTGGGTTTCCAAATTTACACACCAGATTTCTACACAGCACAGCTTTTCATTATTTTGTATTTTTTGGAGTAAAACTTTAATTTTCAATGCACATGACCTACATATGCATATTAACAAGTAATAGGTTTATTCCATGCTGAAAAGAGAAGAAAGAAAACACAACGTTTCGGGCGTGCTGTCACACCTGAAGAAGGCTCCACGGCCGAAACGCTGTGTTTTCATTCTTCTCTTTTCAGCATGGAATAAACCTATTACTGTACTTGTTCCTTTGCAGCCTACGCATGCTGACACAGCTGCCCACCTGAACTATATATGCATATTAATACTACTTCTTGAGATGCATACAGGATAAGTCTGTGCTGATTTCTGTAAGCACTGCACACGTTTTTGAAATGCCCAACAGCCTTGTACCAGAGTTTAAACCAGCACCCCAACAGGAAACACAGAATTTGAATTTAATTGCACTGTGGAGAAAACTCCATAGGTGAAACAGTGAGTTTTGACTGCTTTATACTTTTCAGCATAGAAATAAGCTTCAAAGGAGCAAGTAAAGGTTTATTCCTGCTGAAAGGAGAAGGAAAGAAACACAGGTGTGACACCTGAAGAAGGCTCCATGGCCGAAACGTTGTGTTTCTTGTCTTCCTTTGCAGCCTATGCCTGCTGGTGCAGCTGCCTACTAGAAATAAGCTTTACTTGTTCCTTTACAGAAAATCTTGATGTGTTAGAATAGGCAATATTTTTCAGGATCTTTTAAAGGATAATTCACCTATGTAGCTTCAGTACATTGATAAATGGCACGATACCAAGATAATTGCATATGAATGCAAGGTCAATTATCCTTTTAGTGCAACGACAGAGTTAATCGTATTGTCTGCCTGGATAACTGTGTATCCTGGAGCAATCTCTGCTTGACCTATTTTTCTGTCCGCTGTTGGAGTCACTTGACACCATGTAAAACAGTAAAATGACAAACAGAAAATGTAGAGCAAACAAGTAAAACATGGTTGCTCTACAGGATGTTTATTATAATCCCCATACTTGTAAACAGAAAATATATCACGATAAACGTTTTAGTGTCTTTCCTGGATTAGAGTCACACTGTAGGACCCCACTGTAATACCAGTACTTATGGACACACTCACTCACAAAATAAAGATGCTTTATCTGTTGCAGTTTATTTGATTTTGTGGAATATCAATACACACTTAAGGTGAGTCTAATAAACCTTTTAAAAATTATTTTGTTCCATTACGTTGTGTCACAAAACAAAATAAAAAAACGACGAAGTTGTTTGAGAGCAACCCAGCATCTCTATGTATAATGCTCCACAAAGTTATGATGTACTGAACCTTGAACTTCTAAACTCATTTGTGCGTTCTCACTTAGATGTAAGACTGTGTTGTCAGAATTATATTTTCTAAATATCCTAAGACTATGGAAATAAAACTCAATAGTATTTATTCATCACTGTTAGTACAGCAGGAGGGTATGCAAAGAACCCCTAGTGAGGATGTGCTCACATATCCTTTCTGTCTTATAATACCATTAAAAGGAAGAAAATGGCCATAGTTGATTGCAAAGACCCCGTATTTCAAGTTTTTAAAACTAATCTTTGCAATAATTCTAGTTTCTTTTTATCATTTTAAAAGTCAGTGAAAAAGTCACATAACTGTAGCAATTCCCAGACCCAACACAAGACTAATCCTCTGTCTTTCTCATCCTGGATGTTTAAGAGACAGAAGCGGCTGAGGAAATGGTTGTGATAAGTGGAGTGTTTCATCCTTTGTCTTTTTGAAAACAGTTTCCCAGCACACAGAAGGACAGCGGACTTTCCGAGCCAGCCAAAACAAGCCTTATTGAAGAGATCCCTGTGCTTGGAGACAACATTACTTCTGCTTTAGAGATTGTGCTCCATAACTGTGTTACATCACACATTATCATGAAGATATAATGACCCATGTTCATGAAAACCAATTAAAATAAGTTAAATATAACTTAAAACATGGCTGAGCAAATTATCTTCCTATTGTACAGTTTTCATGCTGTGAGAGCAGTGAGAGCAGGGAGCTGAACTGGTCAAAATGCCACAGTGGTCTCCTATCTCCAGTGGAGATCAGTCTTTCCCAGGACATTAAGGGATTCTCTGGACATTTCAGATCTCAAATAATTTATCTGATAGAACAGTTGTTTAAGAAACAGTCAAGTAAAATCATGGTATCTAGATCTCAGATTCTGTTCTTTACTAAGTTAAAGTTGACTAAATAAGTTAGAATATAAGAAATATATCAATTCCAGGTGCAGGGTGTCAGTAGCTGCAATAGATGATTGTTTGGTAATATACTGTATGTAGATCCAAACAATGCCCTGCACATCATTGAGCAACCTTTTCACAAGAACCCTGAAAACCATTCAGTTCCTAACCATCACCGAAACAAGCTCCTCTTCCCTGTATTAAACCCCTATCAAAATCTTTTTTTATCTTACAGTTCTCTGTTGTGTTCCTGAGAGTCCAGAATAATAGTGGTTAAAATACTACTGTCTTCCCATCTCCAAAACACGTTTGGCATTTTGCTAACTATAAGATTTTACACTGGTGAAAAGATGATAAGATCACTTTATTGGCCATATACAATTTCTTGCATTAGGAATTCGTTTTTCGCAAACCCCAGTTTGCCCTCCACGAAACAGACACACAGACAGGGAGGGAAGCTGGGGGTCAGAGCGCAGGGCCAGCCATTTATACAGCACCCCTGGAGCAGTTGGGGTGAAGGGCTTTGCTCAGGGGCCCAACGGAGTAGGATTCCTCTGCCGGCCGCGGGATTTGAACCGGCAACCTTCCAGCCACAGTGCCACCGTTCCGCCCAGTAAGTTTTAGAAGAGGTAGCAGCTAGCTATCATGGCATTTAGGAAGAAAATGTATACACAAAAAAACAAGAGGAATGCTGTCAGCTTGTGTTGCGACATCCATTCGATTGCACTGCTGTTTGGAATAACACAGCCATATCGGATCACGTCTTGTGCTCTGGAGACGCTGTCCGCAGGCATGTTCCTCCATTATTCGAGGCAAACCTCAGATCACAGTGCAATCTGGAGCTGTGCATGTTCCAATAAATAACCCGCTGTACTAGTTTGAAACTAGGAGAGCTCAAGGAAGACCATTGTCTGTTCTTCCCTCCAGCGAAATAATTTCAGAGGAAGCCCTTCTCCGTAACGAATGGAAAATGTTTCTAAATCAGACGGGAGATGAAGTGAGCCTTAAAAGACAGAAGTTTTATTATTAAACAGAAAAGACTCAGTTGGAAATTCTTTCCAAAGACACCAGCTCAACAATAACAAAACAAAGGAAACAAAACACTGAAGCATATTAAATGGCAACACATCAAAAATATGAAATGACTTATTTCACTAGCACATCTTCCTTGCTTAAGCAGAAGTACTTCAGTATCCTGCATATCATTCTTCTCTTCAGAAACAGCAAGAGCATGAGTAAGGATTCAAACAAAAGGAGGCCATTCTGTTCATAGCCAAGAGCTCCGTTTGCACTGACACATTAATGCTGTAACATCAATCTGAAATCAGCCCTGAACAGCAGTGATAAAATAACATTGTAATGAATTATTACTAGAGACAAGTCATTCCTGTTCTTTACAATCCACTCAGAAAGCACCGGCCAGCATTATTCTGCCACAAAGTGACCACAGGAGGCTGACTATGATATTCCACCCAGAGCCACGCCCTGGCACAATCCCCGTGGGCATTTAAATTGAGCCTTGACCCCTCTGGAAACACCGTGACCACTAGACCGCCTGCAGACATCTAAACAAACTTCAAAACAAGTATTGGGCAGAACACGTACTGCAGTCCCTGCATCTTCGTTCCGCATTTCCGGCGGAGGAACGATGGCTCAGGGGGTGGGAGTCGGGGGGGTATCTGAGCCGTGCACCCGTGACACAGGTGGTGCCCCTCGGGTGTAAGCCCCAGGGTGTACAGGTGACACTTCTGTCAGTCACTTGGGCCTCCAAGTGACTGTGAGACAGTCTGCCACATGACTGCCCTCCCAGGTACCCTGCAAGCACTTTCCACCTCACGTCCTCCGGCTGGCACCACACTATGATGCAATACGGCGCCAATCTCACCCTCGGCGGCCGCCTGTTCCCTCCAGGGCCATCCCTGTGTGCGACGGCGAAGCCCCGCCTGAAATCAGATATCTCCTGCTCCATGTGAGGGGTGCACACGCCTGTGAATGTGATGTAGTTTTCAAGAGTCCCTGGGGAAGAAGCAGCCTGAAAGACTCCCCTGATTACACAGATTCTGCTGTCTCGTGGAAATAAAACTGCATATCTGCCAATACTCTTGCCAGTCCTAAGAGACGGGGTATTTTTAGTTCACTCTGCTCTCAATAACAAACAGCAAAACGGGCGTGAGGATGTATTTGCCTCTCAGTCTTCGGAAAACAAATTAATTAGAACAGGAAACAGAACAGGACTGAACTGAATGTACAGCAGCAAACATTTCTTGCTGTAGATACCCACTGAATACAGAGCTCCATGTCTACAAACCTGTGGTACCATATAGATTGCAGTTTTATTCGATTTTTTTGCTACTTTATTTATTTTGCATATATAGTTTCTGAAATTTCTCATTAGGAAAAAAATACATTAAAAACACTTTCTGCGATCTTAATGCAAAACAGCGATGCCACCTCTGCTCCTGACAGGGGATTCTGGAAAACCTTTTGTCTTTCACTATACTTTTAACTGAATCTGTGATAACGTCTGGTCACTAGGAACTACTACACCTGCTTTTCTGTCATCACTTTCATCCCTTTCTGAAAATGTCCGATTCGGCACAGGAACATCCAACAATGCCATAAACTACAGCTAGATATCCTGAGGCCTGTCTGAACTACCAGCCTGACTGTCTCCCACCACTCTCCTTCTGCTTGTGCACAGGTACACTCACACTGCACCTATATACAGCACAGCATACTGGTGATAGTATAGAGGATGTCAACACTAATGTCTGCAAAGGCTTGCATGTAACTATCAGAGCTGTAATTCTTGTGCATTAAAAGTCATATCAATTCTTGTTTTTTTTTTGCATTTCGAGATTGGATTGAAGATTTAGAAGGCGAAAAACAAAAATGAAATGCGCATTGATCTGCTTGATAACAACCTGCATCCCAACATTTCCATGCTCATTTTCACATTTTGCTGGCCAGTCATATTTTTCCCAGCATTGCTACTGGGAATTTCCTCCTCATCGTCGTCTGACTGTGCAGACGTCAGTTTAATTACGTCAGGGCTAGTACTGCAACCCCACACTCACCTGGTCCATTTTCATCTCCACATTCTGAACAAGAGACGAAACGAGCAGATGAAAGGGCATCAAGCAGCCGCAAGCTGACAAACAGACTGTAAAAACACTCCTTTTCACTTTCTGAACTGGACAGCATGATGGGCAGCCATTTGATTGAGAAGGATAAAGGCAGCAGATTCAGAATCTGGGAACAACGAGCACAGCATGTTCCTTTGTGATCCCACAAGAACTCTCAGTGCATTGCTGGATAAAGTATCACCACCTGCAAGGCCTCCGAGCCTACAGCAACAGACTAAACAATTATTATATGTTGCTTAGAATAAAAAAAAAAAGAGTCTAAATCACTCTGACACTCCCCAGAGACTCCCTGGAGACTCCTTGAATAATGCAAATCTAATATTTTATAAAAAGCACTGAGGAGAATAGGCTATTTACTGTGATTTCTGCAGAAGGCAGGGTTATGCTTGGTCATCTGCTAAAAGAATAGTTCTCTTGTTTCAGGCAGTGCTCAAGGATTTAACTAGATCAGAGCTTTTTACAGCCAAACCGGTCCCTGAGCGCAACCTTGTGTATTCTCATTGTGCAAAGAATATTTAATTTATGTAGGTCAATTTGTGTAATGACTTGAAGATTTGATATTTTAAAAATTAAAGTAGATATGTTGTGTGAAGAGTGGCCTCCATACCACTTTATCCTCTTAAGAAAAGATGTACGTGTAAAAAGCACAGAATGAAGAATTACATTTAACCGTGTAAACTGCAGTGGATCACGTTGTGTTTTTGATTCCGAGATCTCTTAGTCATTAAGCATAACTCCTCCTGCACACAATAGCTTACAGTTCTGTAGCTGAGATGGGAGATAATGGCCACTGGACAACAACAGCCCAGTCACTTAAAGAGTGGAATTGTATGGAACTGACAAAAAAAAACATTCACTTCCCACACAGGGTTTGCAACAAAGCACCTAAATGATACTGCCAACATGTAGCAAAAAGGTTTTTTTCTCAGACAAGGTCAAGTTTGAACATTTTGGCATAAATGCAAAGAGTTACATCTGACACGGACCCATCATAGTGCATCAGGCAGTCACCACCAGCCCTGATGTCAGGTGTGCTGGTGGCAGCGCTGTGATATACGGCTGTTCTGCTCCTCATCAGCAGGGGCAGGGAGGCCTGTCAAGGCTGAGGGGAACATGCTGCAGATAGAGCACAGTACTGGGAAATCCTGGAGGAGAACCTGCTTCTGACCTACACCTGGGACACAATTTCACTTTTCATGGGCACAGTGAGCCAAATCAGAGGGCCAGAGCTACACTGCAATGTGCAAATGTCATTGAGTGGGCCAAGTCAAAGTCCTGATTCTATTGAGAATCTGTGGAAAGACCTGAAAACAACTGTCCTTAAGCAGTCCCCAAACACTATGAGAGGGCCTGAGCAAATCTGACAAGAAAAATGGACAAACATTGCATAAAGCAGATGTGCAAAATTGGTAGAGACTCGAAAAGGCCTGGAGATGAACTTGCAGCCAAACTGAACTCAACTGAAAAATCAGTTCATGGGTCTGAATATCGATGCAATCGGTATACTTAAACTTTATCTTACTTATTTTTTGCTGACTTTTACTGTAACTAATCTAACCCCTTTTTAATATTAAAAAAATAAGAATATTTACTATATAATATTAAAAAGTAATTTTTAATGATGTATCAAGTTTAACAAATGGTTATACATCATTTTGTAATTCCACATAATGAGACACCATAGGAAGTCGCTGAATAATTTTGTTAGGCAACTACAACTACATCTTCAACTTCAGCTTCTTCAAGTTCAACTCTAATTACAACTACAACTTTTGCTTTTTGTAGAACAAGCAGCACTACATCCCCCAAGCAACCTTGCATAAACTTGTCTCAATATTTGCTGGTTTATATTCCAACTGGACTAATTGCTTAATTGAAACCTTAATTAAACTAAACATTTGACTAATCAAATATTTTAGTTGTGTGCCTGTGCTGTAATGTTGCAGTATTCACATTGTTTATAAAAATTGCAAAGCACATTTAAAATATTTTACAGTTGCGGTACAGAAAGCTTTTTTAAATCTCAACACAAAGGATATATGAGAGGATTTGAGAAGCCCCGAAGTAGGTTTCTGTCATTATAAAACATACACTACACACTAAGATGTTAACGAATTCGATGATAACCATTACCTGTAATAAATGTCAGATTTTGGTCATACTGATGCACTGAATACTCTACATTTCAGGGTGTGCTTGAAAGCAAAAATTCAAAGCTCCTTAGAATTTTTTCAACATTGTGATAATACCACTTTGATCACCTTGAAACATCTAGACAGTCAACTGAAAAATGTGATATTTAAACTGATCCAATTAACATCTAGGAATATATGAAAATTGTGATAGCGTCTACACTATCCCATTGCCGAACTGGCTAAAGGAAAGCTACTGTAGGTGTCTGGAACATTAGTCTTAGTCTTAGAACATTAAAAATGAAGCTATGCTTCTATACATGAATGAGCGATCTGGCAATAATTTCACAATACATACAACAGAGACTGAACTGCACATCACAATCTGCGAAACTTCCTAATTGGATGGGGTTCAGTGATCAATTATTCTTGTATTATGTTCACTAACCTTTTAACTTTGATGAAAAAAAGGAAATGAACCACCTTTTCTCACATCGGTCATCGCAACATTTAAGTCATTTGCCTGTTCCACATAGCAATTATAAAGCTCATTTCAAGACTCAGAAACAGAACTTTATCACAACAGATAAACTCTTCTGAATGGTGACATGACAAACGGAAGTACAAGTCGAAATTAAAATGCATTGCTGTTGAGCACCAAACGTGTTCTGCATACTCTAAATTCAAGCTCGTTACTTTAAATATAATAACACTCAAAACCTGAGTAAACCTGTTTTAGGTAGCAACATCTGTAACGAATAACTTAAAAAATATCTTAAAGACAAAGAAAGCTGGCGAAATCAACATTGGCTTCAGCTCATTTATTGACGTACTCGTCCAAAAAACAGCTGTTTTATAACATTTGTAAACCAGAATACAAATGTCGCTAATATGGCGAATAACTTGGACACATTCATTGTCCCCTGTTCGATCGCTTCGATATACAAAACAAACTGGATTTTTCATCGCAGAATACTACAGGCCAGATGTAAAGATAATTACAAGATATAACATCGTTTTGATTCGTATGGTCTTTTGCTACATTGGCAGAATTCTCGTTAATTTCATAGCAAAACAAACGAGAACGGCACCTCGAGGAAAATCAATAACAAAGCACTACCCATCAGTGGGGCATTCAGAAACCGACAGGGAGACTTCACCGGCTGCTCCATTACTACAGTACTAGTCATCCCCGCCAGCACGTTAATGAAGTCCTTACGAAACTAAATATTGGGTCGTATCCGACTTGGAGCGTTCTCTTATTGCAAACCCCTGAGGCTCCAGTTGTACAATCTGTCTACAGAGTGTAACATTGCTGGGGCTGCGTGTTTCTGTTTTTTTTTTGTTAATCCATCCTCGCAACACTTTTTTTCCCCCTTTTCCTCAAGTTTATTCCCTGTTATGCTTCTGTAACTAAAAACAAAAAAAAAAGCCATTCAGTCCAACATTACTGCGCACTAAACATTCAATCCACCCCACGGTGTTTTTCGTTAACAGCTATAGCCTCGCACGCTGTTCAGCTGAGTCAATTCCCAAATTCGTCAATGTGTAACATCTGTGTGACACCGTGCGCATCTGACATTGCTAACTGCGCGCATATTCAGGGCTGACAGCGAGACTGAAGCGCACTCGGGCAGCTTCAGGACCTGCGGTCCCACAACGTGACTTGCTTGTCTGAGCCTTACCTATGCAGAGCTGGACAACATAGGCGTAGTAGGACCAAGCCACTATGATGGTGATAAAGAGGACCGGGATCCAATACAAAACTCTCTGACATCTCCGCTTTATACCGCCCGAGCCCGACGGCGCCATCTTCAATTTGGACACCATGAAACTAAGCTAAGTCAACAGCTTCTCCTCACTGCATTGGTGCTGGGAGACAGCGTCCAGCCAGCAGAAAAATGTGGTCGGGTTTTCCCTCCCCCCTTTCCGCTGTTCCAGATCCGGCGCTGCAGCTCGGCGCCCGGCTCCGGTGCTCGCAGTGTTAAGTGGGCAGAACCGCCCCTTCTCGGTTTGTTGCCATGACGTCCCTCGGATGCTGCCCCCCGCATCTGCCGGACAACAGCCACCTCCCTTGCTGCCCGCATCCTCTAGCTGCGACCAAAACTCTTTGCGGGGGGGATAGAGGAATAAAAGAAGGGGGAGTTTTTAAAATAAAAGCGTATGTGAAGATGCCGTGGTTTCCCCGAAATGTCTCAAGGCTGTCGTTTCACTATCAAGTATCCGGGGGAGCGTACAGATAGCAGTACAGTACTAATATTTCTTCACCTCGCCAAGAGTACGTTATTTTTACCGATGATCGCTCCTGTGGGACCAGCTCCGTTGCCTGAAAGTCGTCTGAAATGCACCAAAAGGAGTGAGTTGCAGCGTTTCGTGCCCGGAACTGGACGATCAAGACGGCACGTTTTCTGCCTTCTTTTGGCCTGAGCGAAAAATGCAACAAACAAAAAAATAATCAAAACTGCATTTTGATTGACCTTGCTATGTACTCTCATTGCACTCCAAGTACAAAGTTAAAATGCGCTCAAGACTAATCTACAGAATCTGAATGCACATGATGCACTTACACTGTGCCCCAGCCTGAGCCACCATGATTAAACTTTTTCTAAACTATACATGACATGTATATGACATGACATGGGCCCAGGGGGTGGGAATAGTGCTTTGTATGGCAGAGTACCACCTCTGTCTCGGACAGGCCTGATACTCGACAGGGCCAGGCTAGAGACACTCAACTATCAGGGCAGTCACTTCCCCCCACCTCTGTAATACAGCTGTGCCAGAAGTCCTGGGTTGTGAAGGAGCCGTTACAGCTGTGTGAGCTATGGAACAAAACCTGAAAGTAAACATGAATACATGTATGAAATAACAGTTCAGTTCTCTTTGTGGACAAGTGGGCATATGAGTCATGTCCTCATATCCTAATATCCTACCAAACCATTAAAGAACTCCCAGGCAGGCTGTGTTTCAGAGGTGATTACAGAGGTGAGGTGTAACATCAGTCTGATCAGATAGTCCTAGATGACTGTGAAGATATGGGAAGTCTCAGCCCGCAGAAGATGGTGTAGCTCTGGTGTGTGATAGTGATTCAGTGACTTTCTGTGGCCATGCTTGGTTTATCTTTGTCCTCGAACCTCTCCCCGGGAATTCTTCAGGCAGTCCAAACTGGCAGACATTAGCCAGGTCTGCTGTTGCCTTCAGCGGTGTACCGAGAAGCAGGCGCTCCTAGAAATTCCATCTCCTGCGAGGCCCTTCACATCAGTCTTTAAAGCCCCCAGGAATGGAATCTCTTTAGTCTTGAACAGGGCAGACTGCGAGGAGACCTGCTTACAAGGGTTTTAAAATCCTCAAGGGCCCTGATGCTGTCAACCCAGTGGATTTCTACAGAACGAACAAGAACCAGGGAAAGCACAACAGGCACTTGTTTACCCAGAGGAGTGTGAAGGTCTGGAGCAATCTGCCCAAGAACGTTGTTGAAGCCGATAACCCAGACTCTTTCAAGACATGGCTGGATGAGATCGAATGACTACTGAGTACCAAATGAGTACAAGGTAGTTTGGCCACACGGCATGCTCTTATGTAAGCTTTCCTAGGTCATATTCCCATAAAACATGGGACACTCCTTAGACGTGGTAGAATCCTGAAATTAATTAAATTGTTCACTTTCTTCACACTGAGAGAGCACAAACCCTGCCCCTCTGTACTGCTTTAAAACTCAGGACACCCCCCCAGTAAAACATCAGGTCTGGTAGGTAACAGGTAACAGCAGTTATTGCTTATGGGTCGTCCAGCCACTTTGTTGGAGTATCCTTTGACCCCTGTAGGTAGCATATCTGACTCTCTATGTCTCTATCACAGAGGCGCAATCACAGTTCCGCAGCCTGCAGCTGGCCAGCTCCATGCTTGCGTCCGAGGGACAGTGGGACCCACTGACCAGTTTGTTTATGGTCCAGTACCTGGTTTGGTTCAGCAGATGCTGCTTTAGGAGAGACAGCACATGAGGATGAGCCAGTCAGTCCCCAGCAGAAAGAGTTGTGAGGGTTTTGTAAAAATTGGTCTAGGAAGTGGGGAGCAGACAACAGTGAAGGTGTACGTGTTGTGTGTGAGTTTGAGTCTGGGGAACCCCTGGCCTTCTCCTCATAGTCCTTACAAGACACAGCAGCAATCTGCAGGATACCGTGACATCCTAACAATAAACTATTACCCCACCACCTGTTTAAATCTGGCGTATTGGATGTGTTCCTGAAAAAGAAAACACAGAGCTTTGTATTTCAGTTCATCTTCATCAAAATAACAACACCCAACGTGAACATGAATATCCTGTCCAATACTGCCGGAGATCATCTCCCAACTGTGCTCATGGAAAAGAAAAAACATGGAAATGGAATAAGTGAACCACATGACAGCAGATAAATACAGTTCTACAGGGCTGTAATTCAGCTTCACTCGAGCAGAAAGACGAACGGGGTCCAATCTTTCCCGCATTCCTCATTCCGAATGTATGAAGACCATAAATCTGAAAATGTGGAAACAAAGTTTTGGTTTTTTTTTAGTTTTACAGGCCTTGAGCCTTGTTAGACAGAAGTATCCCCTTAATAACAAAGACTCTTTTAACGGACTTTCAAAATAATTTATTCATGCAGAGAGTGCAACACACTTTGGGAGTAACATTCCTTTTTATGTAAAAGTGACAGTTTTATGGTAAAAGAAACGTTTAAAATGTTTAGCTGTCATGTTTTGCAGCATTCAAAGCATACAATTCACACTGCTTTAAAGGTGGCTACATGCGTGAGACACAGACCTCAACAAATATAAATGGTGAATATGAGAAATTAAGAGAGAAAGTATCAATAAACACTAATACTTAAAGAAGCACTTAAATCTATTTATATTTCCCCATTATTTGTCCAATTCTGTGTGTACAACCATGTGTATCCAACCCCAATATAAAATGTAATTTTGTCATGTGTACTTTTACCTGATAAATGTTTGTGCAAGAAAACTTTCTAATAGGTTTTTTAAGGCTGATGTTAAGAAAACATACAGCAGATATATAGCAGAAAAAGTATAGTAGCAGAGCAATATACGTCTATGCCAATGAGCAAACCTCTGCACTCTTATACAAACTTATAAGCACTGAGGACTCTATTTTAAAACTAGAGGCAGAAACAATGCCTTAAAATATGTAGAACACAAATACTACAGCAGAATTGTAAGAATAAAATAAAAGGACATACAGTATACTAAAGTATAACTGCAACAATGCAAAAACAGTAGACAAATGCTAAAACACACTTTTAGTGTTTAAATGATAAAATCTCTATCAATCTGTAGATATTAGAAAATATGGTTATGTTCTTTAAATTGCATGTGCTCTAATACATGCATGCAAAACAATTTCAACAATATTTTAAGACTTGAGAGGAAATAAATATTGCATTGTAATAAGTGAACGTGCCGAGACTCTAAAGCTGATCTTTAAGTGGTGATCTTTAAGCTCTCTGTGTGTGAGGAATGTGTGTGTCCTATAGACAGACTATCTGGATTTATGCTGGCTAAGCTTTGTAACTAATGACAACTGCCCTTGTTATATTGCATCAGAGCAGCAACAAGGCACATAGAAAAACTCATTCTTGTGTGGTTGTTTTATGTAAAAAAAAAGACTTTAGAAGTTTAATAAATCACTTAAACTGTAGCATAATTAAAATAAATATAATAACCAACGCGCCGGTGTTCAACATTCAGCACATTCGGGCGGGTCCTGAGCTTAACGTTGCTGCTGTAACTTTCTCTAAACTGACAGGGCTGGCCGGTACACGGAAAAAACAGCAGGCAAAAGGGTGCCCCGTTTCGAGACCCCCCAGCGGATGAGTTCAGGGGGATACCGCAACGAGCACATTTTCAGAAACGCTACAAAATTCATCAGAGGAGCTTCAAGTCCTCAGTTAGCTTTCTGTCTTGCCTGAATTTTAGATGCCAAAAGTGAGAATACGAATTTCGAGCTTGGACGTGTCGATTCTTACCATACCTTCAAATTAAAATCACGCTGCGATAAAGCACTATCTCTAAATGCTCCAAACGGATGTCACAATATTCTGGGCACATTTTCTGCTGGTAGTTCTCTTTACAAACGCCCTCTGCGGAGACCAACCCATCATCATCATTTGCAATCATGTAACTTGAGTAGAAAAGACAACTGCTGAAATCAAGCTTTGTGGGGGGAACGTCAAAATAATGTTCTCGCTTAACCGTAATTTAAGGTGTAGATATTTTTGAAGAAGATAGTTTGTGAACTCCCAGCGTAGCAGAATTGCACAGCTTCGCGCTTGAAGCCCAGGCGAGAGACTGAGTCGCGAAGCCCCGGGGTTTCGGCCGTCAAGCGGCTGCGCCTCCCGGGAGATCACAGTGCAAAGGCAACGCGCCCGTCAGTTCGTCTTGGAAAAACCCGTCACACTTTCTTCTGAAACCTCCTCCACAGCTCTCCCACCTGTCTCCGGACTTGGACCCGCACACACGCGGCGAAGGCAGACGGTGTGCCCGACGGCTTCGCCTGGCGGAGAGGAATTTCACAGGGGGGGAAAACATCATTATTACGAACCGAATGGAAGCAGTTTCGTTCCTACTATACCCCGTGACGGTCCCCTTCTGACAATCTGGCAAATTTGAAAATGCACATTTCTGGGGGGAGGGTCCTTTTAAACCCATGCTCTGGGCTCTACCTGCAAAGCGTTCGGCGGCATCAGGACGGGCAGTGGGTTATCTAGGGAGCGCTTGTCCGGACACAGACGAGAAACGCAGTGTCAGCATGACCGTCCCCACTGGTTTCTAAGTGCCCTGTGAGAACAGCACTCGCTGTTTGGGTACTAACGTTCCCGTCTGAAACGCTGGGATCATAAATACCGCTGTGCTGCCCACACGTAGTTGTAAATACTGCCTGGCTACGAGGGTGTAGAGTATATTAAGGCAGTAACCACATGTAATGCTGTAATATGGGAGTCTGTACTATGAGAAATAAGGTAGAGCAACCCGATTCGATTAATATAAGTGGTGAGAGATAGTAAGGTGAAATCTATAGGTAAATCAGAATGTCTTTTGGATTCTTATAAATGAATAAAAGTATGCACAGAGAAATTTGAAAACTATCCCAACGCTCTAAAAATGGAGCACAATTCTGACTTCAACATAAAGAACTTCTGTTTTCTAAACAATCAAACTTGAGGAACCAAACACGACCTGCGACAGAGTTCATGCCTTATTTATACCGGCTCTGGGAGTGATTTATTACTGAGAGCAGGAGGCACCTCTTTACCCAAAGGGTTGTGGGTGGGTGGAACAAGGCTCCTACCCAGCCCAGCTATTGAAACCGATATCCTGGTTTCTTTCATGGGATCAGTAAGCGACTGACTGTGAAACGGGCCAGACGGTTCGAAAAGGCTCCTCTCGTTGGTAACTGGTATGTGATGAAGCAACTAATGCATTTTTTTTTAAAACTTTCTGGTTCCTCCACTGCAGCAGAAGAGCCCTGATGTGCAGCAGTGGTCACTGCACCCCCAGAACTGAGCTGACTCGGGCCGAGGTGTCTGGAGAGGAACACGGCGTTCAGGCACGAACTGAAAGCATGTTAAACAGCGGGAGGCCTCCTGTGATTTAACATGGGTGCAGAGAGCAGAATTGCTCACAAAGAGTACTTACTTATCTGCTGAGCAGCTCCTTTTTCATACAGGATTTGAAGGTAGTGTACCGCTCTACAGTTTTGTACCCCTGCACAGCAGAAGCATGGAAGAGCAGGACAGAGGCCAGTGATGCAGAGTGAAGCCGTGGTGGCACCGGAGACAGGCAGGGAAAGAGGAAAACACAGGATCTCTTTCATTAACTGTGAAGCTGGCGAAGCACAGTGTTCATGTTCGCATTTCTATTGCATTCAAGGGTTAGATTTGGAGCACTCTCCTGCCATAGCACCACCGGAGGCCCTTAATTAAGATGACGCAGACACCCAGCAGCACAAACGCAGGGCAGGAAGACCAGAGCGCACAGGAAAAGGTAACTGTCAGTGGGGCTCTTTAAGATTTCAAAGAACAGCTGTTGCCTGCATCCAGGTGTGATTCAAGAGGTGCAAAGACTATGCAGGCTCATTGCTCAAAGAGTCATGTAGCAAACTGCATCTCTCCAGAAATGAAAACCTGTCTGACTTACTACTCTCCTACTTCCCACCTCGCAGACCCTGTTCATCTGGTCTGCTGTCTGTCCCCTGAAGGCCTTCTACTCCCTAGGGGTGACAGGGCCTTCTCCTGCTGCACCCCAAAGCTCTGGAGTCCTATCCTCAAGGATATCGGATAGTCACCTGCCCCGAGCTCGTTCAAATCTAGACTTAAATCTATCTTCTTTAGAAGGGCTTTTATTTAAGTGGCTCTGAGCCTGCCTCTTTGCTTTCTTTCTCTCTTCCAAACTCTCCCTGTAACTCATCAGAATCTCTTTTGGATTCTTATAAATGAATAAAGCATGTATTGTATTCCAGTGTATTCCAAACCCTCACTGTAATTCATTAGAATCTCTTTTGGATTCTTATAAATTAATTTTGGATTCTTATATATGTAACTGGTTAATTCTGCTACCTCTTCCCATTTTCTTCTGTAAGATGATTTGAGAAGCCACTTTTATAAAGAAAACGTTTATAATAATCATGCATTCCGAATCTGCGGTATTAGAAGCAGCCTTTCACTTGCAATAATTATCCCCACCACTAGATGGGAGCACAGCACCTTAAACAGGAACCGAGTGTGCAACATGCACAACTATTCTTCCTCTCAACAACACAACTTAGTCTTTGAGTGCAGAGATACAATTTTCTTAACTTTGGGAAATGCTTAAACTGGGAAGTGCTTAAAACATGATTTGTGGTTCAGTAAACCAGTATTTTGTCTCAGTTTCCTTTTCTGTAATTTTACAAAATAAATTTGCATTTGTCATTTAAAACAGGTAACACAGGTGAATTAAGTAAAAGTAAGATTAAAGGTGAGGTGCTATATGATGTTAAAAAACTGTGAACTCCAGAGATGACATGGTAAATGTGAAAATTATTATAATTTCCTGATTATTTTTGTGGCTAGGAAAACAAATCAGGTAACCCTGGCTTTGCAATTTAAAAACAAATAGAAATTGTGATCTGAATTACTATAAATTACTGCTGGTTCACTGTGCATTAACACCACGATTGTTTTCACAAGGAAGACCAAAGGAGAGGCTGGAGCAGCCTTGAGAGTTTGAACATCACAGTGTATCGAGGTTTAAGATGAGGGCCGGGTCAGAGAAGTGGCGCTACTGTTCACACCTTGAATGCATGCTGTGGATTATGGTTTTCCCCAAAACCCACTACAGACGTTCTCAAGCTGTTTACAAGATCATTACCCATCTCTCACCCATAACACTGTAAAATCAAGGTAAAACAAATGTACACAACACTGCACCACACATGGTCCATCCCTACCCGAGAACCGCGGTACAGTCTGTCCTTCATGATGCCAATGAACTCCTTGTAGCTCAGCTGGTCGTCACGGTCAACATCGAAGATCTTGAACACTGTGTTCACCAAGTGGTGCGTGAGTTTCAGTCCTGTGGCCACATAAACTGCACGCTTGAACTCATCTGTACAGATCACATTTAGAAAAAATTACGTGGTTTCATTTTGTTTTCCTGGTCCCAGAAGAAATTCAAAAACTGGAAAGCAGACAAACAACAAATTGCATGTTGTCCATCTGAGAAAGTACTCAGGACAGCTGCTTCACCAATTTATAGTAAAAAAGAACACATTACAGATTATGAAACACATAACTGTAAGAGCAACAGATTCGAACAAAAGCAAAATACGTGCAATAGCCATAAAAAATCTGACAGTAAAAGACTGAAAGAGAAAATTAAAATCAAACCTTGACCGATTGACCGGTTTGCAAAGTTGTACATTTGCATCGCAATTGCAAAATCTTCCAAGTTGTTCAGGAACTGGAAAAATGATCTGAACTCATCGAATGTGATCCCCTACAAAGAAAAAGAAATGAAAAGGGAAAATACATCTTTAGATTTCTGCGTTCCATCTCTTACCAATTCAAAGGTTTTAAAATATTCATCACATATAAAAAATACTTTTAAAAGCTTCCAGGTTTTTAAGCCAAACACTTGTTTATACAATGGTATGACTAAACCTCCGCAGGTTAATGCAAGATCTATGCACCACTACAACAAAGAGCAAACAGACACACTTCCTGGCTCAAAGGAAAGCCATACGCTGACAGAATAAAAACTCAGGTTTTTTTTAGTCTTGAACTAAGGGGAGTCAAGTATTTAAAATCCTCAAAGGTGCTGACAAAGCCAACAATTAACTTTCATCAGAAACAACAGAGAACCACAAACCAGAGGAAGAAGTGGAAACTATGTGGAAGTGCATTTAAAACTGAGACCAGGAGGCTCTTCTTTACACAGAGGGTAGTGGGAATCTGGAAGGAGCTACACAGCCGAAACCCCGGCTTCTTTCAAGACCTCTCTGGATCCTGGGATCGATTAGCTACTTGTAACCGAACAAGCTCGATGGACTGAAGGGGCCTTCTCTCGTTTGTCGCCCTTCCTATGTTCTTATGCACTTACAGCACGTGAAAATCTAAAGGTCAGAAGTCAGAGATGAATTTAAGGATTTTCTCCTTCACATTATCCCACCTCTCTTTTCTAAAACAAAACGAAAGTGGTCCCAGGTACTTTCTGTTAAAGGGAGAGAAGCAACACTTGTCCCCTACATGACAAGATTAGGGTTGGATTATTATACCCTGCAGCTCCCAGCTGGCAGCCCACTGGAGCTCAGCAGGTGTGAGCCTCCTGGGAAAGCTGAGGCTGCTGGAAGAGGTCTGACTCTCAGCAGCCAGTAAAAATCCCAGGGTGTTTCTCGAAAAGAGTAGGGGTATTACCCCGGAGTCCAAATATCCCCCAGGTCTTTACCCACCATGGCCCCTTAATAATCCCCATCTCTGAACTGGCTTCATCACTTGGCTCTCCTCCCCACTGAGAGCTGGTGTGTGGGGAGAGGACTGGCGCACATTAGCTGCTATTGCATCATCTAGGTGGGGCTGCACATTGGTGGAGGTGGAGGGGAGTCCCCATTATCTGTAAAGCGCTTTTAGTGTAAGGAGTTAAGAAATCATTATTAACCATAGGGCTCTACTTTTGAAAGAGAGCTTGGCTTGAATTCTGATAGTAAATTAAGCATTTAATAGTTAAAGCTCAGAAACCTTGGCCCCTGCAATGACATACCAAATACTTCTGTTTTTATTTGTACACTTTTCAAGCAAAAACATAGATAATGATTAGCAGTGCAGTTTCATGGTTAAATATCAGATGAATGTAAATGAACTCAAAACCTGTATGAGTCTGAAATCTGAGCATTATATTAACACAGAGTAAGCAGCTGCTGCTGGCTTACAAAATAACCGATTTATGTCTAAATGGCAATAATGCATAAAAGTAGAACAAGATAAATACAGGTACACATTTAAATCTATTTTGAAGAGCTGGTGCTACAGTATTTTTGTTTAGCCTAAAACACCTCACGCATGTTAGAATACACAAACAAAACCCGATATAAAACAAATGCAAGATTTCAAAAGAAACAACTAATCACCAAATTTTACAATAGACTTAAATTAAGATAAAGTCTTCTAACAAGACCTGTCCTGAAGGTAATGGCTCTTTTGATACATACTATCTGACACTGACCCCTTCAATATAAGCAAAACCATGCTAGGGTTTCATCTGAATGGGATGGTAACGCGTTAAAAGAAAAAAACCTAACAAATGATCTAAGGGTAGAAGATAACGCAGACTAATAGTTAAGGTACACAGAAGCTTTTTTTCTGTTCTCTACAAGCCAATCCGTCAACACTGCCGAATTGTAGCCATTTAAAAGGGTCAAATGGTTTGCAGTCTTTTCTAAGGCAGACTAACCTGATACTTGCATAAACACAAACACAGGGGATCTATCCAAAACAACCCATGCCTGAGAGATTACATGTAACACCAGCCCAATTGTTTGTCACTCATGCGTTTGTCCACCACTAAATTCTTTTATTGCCGAGACACCCTGCCGACAGGAGACATTCACTGTCCTACAAATGAGCTAAAGAGTTACACACAATGTTTTGCTATGTTTGGTGCTGAACTCTTTAAAAATATCTCTTAACCCAACCATAAGACCCACTTAATTATCAGCAGATATCTACCAACAACCTGCTCTTCCGTTAGCAAAAGCCAGAAACTTCTTTGCATGAGAGTCAGTGGAAGGGGAAGAAAATAAACGGCACTGTTTTCCAATTGCTCATAGGGGCACTGCAGTATCCTGCCCTACAGAACAATGTCTCCTGTGGAAAACAAGACATTTAACGTTTTTCTTGTAAAAAGACATGATGTAACATTGCATCACGAAGCAGACATTAAATAAAAATACTTCAATTCAGCACCACATGTGATCTAATCCTTGTAACTGGTAGCTCTTGATGAAGATCCCAGACAGAATCTGAGAACAAAACTATATAGAGGTATATAATTAAGGGATTTTATCATAAATCAACAATGCCTTCACACAAGGGAAATAAATATCACAGCTGCAGCGATCATACAATTAAAACCTTTAACACCACTATTTTTATACACTTTCTGCAGTCATTAAGACAGCCAATAAAAAAGTCTCAATAGTGCTCTTAAATAGATAAATCAGAACAAACCTTGACAAAAACAGGCTGCTTTCAGGATGCGAATAATCTCTGCACACTACAGCTCCAGGCAAGAAAGGTGTTTGACAGAATAAGGATGCCTCATCAATGTGAAAAAAGAAAACTGTACCTTTTCATCAGGAATTCTTTGGCGCACGTTGTCCAGATAGCTGCTTGTGTTCTCCACATTTGTGTATCTCAACAGAATACGAGCAAAGTCTTCTTCACTAATGGTTGTCATCCCTTTGGAGTACGTGAGGAACTCTATCTCGAGAACCTCTGTCTGCAGATTGTCCATGAATCTGCAACATTGATGAAAACTCACTATGATCCCAAAGCAACAATACAACTATAATTCTTTTTCAGTCGTAGACAGCATCACTGTGTTCATCACCTCCTAACCTGAATTTACTCTGCCATAGTTACACATTATAAAAGGAAGTTCCTAACTGAGTTTCGGGAGGGCAACGACAGAAAAGGCCAGTTTCACACAGCTGTTCTAAATCACAACTATCACTTATTTTTATTAACAATTCTGTTGCATTCATCGCCCCTCCAGCCCATCCCCACCCTTACCGCTGCCTCTAGGGTCACTCGTCTCCCTCAGTGAGGGTCGGGCCTCCTCAGCCTGTGACCAGTAGGCCTCCCTCACTCACGAGGGTTAAGCCAGAACTTAAAATACTCAAGTACTCAAGTAGAGGAGTACACTGGAATACTTCTTCACACCAATCTCTCAGGACATACACAGTACATCAGACAACACCACACAATGTCGACAGCACGTGACAAACATCATAAATAACAACTACCCAAACAATAAATCCATAAATATGTTGTGGAGAACAATAAATATGTAGTAGTGAAAAAAACACATGCAAAAAGCGCAGACGTGCAGAGGTGCCCTGAGTCTGAGGTGCTGTTGAGGATGTGCGCTGCAGTGGGATAGAGGCTGTTCCTGAGTCTAGTGCTCCGTGCTTTAACAGTGCGGTACCGCTTGCCAGATCACAGAGGGGGAGAACAGCTTGTGGGATGGTTGGGATCCTGAATGATGGATTGGGCTTCACTGGCACAGCGGACGGTGTGAATCTCACCGACTGATGGGTCAATCAGATGCTATAATTCTTATTAAACATTCACAAACAGCTGGTTCTTGGAAATGAAGTTTTGTTTATATCTACAACAAAGTTATTTAGTCTTTCTGGTGCTCATATGGATGAGCGTAAAGAACTCTGACAACTTTAAATGGATAACAATGCGGCTTTTCTATAAAGCCTAACACTTAAAATCTAAATCTAAAAAAAAAAGATTTTATGTTTTTCTGCACTTGCACTATGGGTATAACTGACATTTGAAACACTGCATTAGCTTTATTTCCTGTTTATCTTAAAAAATAAATCCACTTACAAACTCATATCAACTTTGTTTAAGTTCAACAATGTTGAAAATTGTATACCTGTAAAAATCATCAAAGTTCAGCTCAGCCCTCCCTTTCTTTCCAAAGAAATGCACCAACAGTGTCGTATCTATCATCATGTTCTCTTCGGCACGCTGTAGAAAGAAGAAAACATTTGTTTAAACAAACGCAATGACTGCAAAAAGAAAGGATCAACAAGTCATTGGACTTCCGCATTAAAAGAAGAGATACAGTTACGATCACAAAAGTAACATACAAATGCACTGTGTACTTTTGTTGCAAACATACAAGCACAGACAAAAGACAGGCGAAAAAGAGCAATCCATCAATCACAGGCAAATTAACTTATAAGTAGACTTCATGCACATATGCACAAAACATAAAACACACTATGATAAAAGAATTCACCTTTTTCTAGGTGCAAACTAAATGCTGGTTTGAACAAAATTAAGTCATATTTAAAGACTCAGTTCTGATTGTTTTATGTATTGTGTTTAGACTTCAGGATATGGCTGAAGTGCGACTATCCCAGGAAGAATGTGGCTCATGACCAGCTGGGTATAAATAAAATGCTTGTTATATGCTTTCTGTATGTGTTAAAGTCAGGGTTAAAATTCATTCCAGTTCCATATTGTTTTCAGTTCATTTTTACATATGTGGAACTGGAGTTGGATTAAAGAGGAAAGAACAACTGAAAAACTGAAATTGAAACACAGAAAGAGCATACGTGGATTAGGAGGACTGCGTTGTTTATTTACTAATGGCTTGTGATGCCCACACATAACACAGTCTCAAGCCTTTCAGCCTACAGAAGGGGCCCTGAAAGGCGCTCCCCAGTCTTGCAGGGTAATAAGTCGACAGGAGCTTTAGAAAAAGGCGAGTAACGAGCTGAGACCGCGCGGTCGTGTTCTCCATGCTCACAGCTGCAACAGAGCAACTCATGCCACACTTCTCAGTGCCCAATCACTGCTCTCTCCTAAGTGACCATTGCATTCAAGCATGCTCCTTCTATACCTCTAGTCTAAAGTCCTATTGTGGCAGAGTGTTTAAAATAAAGAAGAGAGACATTGTTGCATTGAGTTCTCAAACAAAAGGTTAAAGTAATGATACAACTTCAGAAATGGAGGCAAATGTGTAACATATAACACAAACTTAAAACACACATACTTTCAATGGGAATAAACTGTAGTAGGAAATCAGGCAAGCACGGCACAAGAACAAATGAGAAATGATTTGAATTCGTTTTTGTACAATTCAAAGCAAATTCTTTTAAATGTTTAAAATATATCTGAGCCTCTTTTTCCCCAGAATCCCCTAACAAACTTCAAATTCTGCTGAGCTGTATGCAGTTACAATAGGGACCTAACGTGATTAGAAAAGGGACACCTTGATCATCTGCAGTCAGCTTCCTTTCACTCACCCACTCATCCTGTATCAGTAAGTGACTTATTCCTAGCGAGGGCTGCGGCAAACTGGATCCTATCCCTTTAAGCACAAGGTGTAATACAATAACGCACCCTGGACAGGACACCAGTCCATCACAGGGCACAGGACAGGACCACACCCCGGACAGGACACCAGTCCGTCACAGGGCACAGGACAGGACCACACCCCGGACAGGACACCAGTCCGT